GTTATAATTAGGGATGTCCCGATCACCTTTTTTTGCTCCCGATTCCGATCATTTGATTTTGACAATTTGCCGATACCGATTTTTCCCGATCCGATCTTTATGCAATGCATTAAGAGAGAAAAAAGAAAAAAAGCATTCAAGTTGTCCCTTAAGGTTATTTTTTTATTTAAATTGGATATTCTATCCAACATGGATATAGCTTCTTTCTTTCACAGCAGCATTGGATCAGTTCAGTTGTGCAGCATTGGATCAAAACAAAATAAAGCTTTCAGTACTCGTTAGTTTACTGCTACAATTAGACACTGCGCCCTGCCCACTCTGTTGCCAGATTTGAGAGAAATAAGCAACCAGGTCTATGAAAACAAGCACCAAAGAAGTATACATGATGTTGTGTAATTTGAAACCAAAACTAAGGCCTCAGGATGACTTTAAGACTTGAACATGGTCATTTTTGTTTTTTGAATACAAAATGTAAAAAAAAGAATCCCGATCCCCGATTTTTTTTCTCCCGATTCCGATCTTTTGAAAATCACGTGATCGGCTCCGATCCCCGATCACGTGATCGGATCGGGACATTTCTAGTTCTAATGCACGATTTGCCAGCCAAATCAGATTTACAAGAAATTTAGATTTGACAACATATTAAAAAGGGGTGAATTGAACTGCAAAGCTCCCATACAGATTAAATACTAGAACCTTGAATTTCACTTCACAAAAACTGGAGCAATGACTTCTTCAACACTTAATCAATTAATGTGTCCTATGTGTCCTAATCAAGAGACAACTCATTTAAAAAAAAATTATAAATTCATTTTAAATCCTCTGTTTGGTATGAGTTGTAGCTCTGTTGTTGCTGTTGTCACCAACAACTAGTGTTGTCAGTGTTCTTAGAGTCGTTGGCTATAACAATTACTGTTTTATTCTAGCTGATGTATTATCTCCTAATGAATAAAGACAGGCTGTCTACAGTTGTCAGGGCTTTTTACAATGATATAGAGCCAGTGGGAGGGTGGATGATACGTGTGTGGCATGTGCATGTGTAGAACGAGAAAGAAGTTGAGCGAGCGTAGAAAGTGTCTGGAAGTTACCGGGAGTAGCAGCAGTATGACAAAGTCACAAATATAAACAACGGCCTCCCAAGAACATTTAATGTTATATTTAATTTACCAATCCTCCAGACACCCGCTCCATGGGGCGGAAGTCCAACAGCATGTATCCCCCCTGCAGCAGCAGCTCCTTACAGAGGAGAGGAGATGCCCCCCCCTGCTGAGAAGGCCCTGTCACCATAGGTCCGGAGCTTGGTTCTGATGGGCTGCAGTAGGTTAGCTTCAGCAGACCTGAGGCGACTGGTAGGGGCGTGTCATTGGATGAGGTCACTGAGGTAGGGGGGGGGCAAGGTTGTTGAGGGCTTTGAAAGTGAATAGTAAGATTTTAAAGTCAATGCGGTGTTTGATGGGGAGCCAGTGGAGGTCCTGGAGGCTAGGGGTGATGTGGTCAGAGCGTCGGATGGAGGCGAGCATACGGGCAGCTGAGTTTTGGAAATACTGACGTTTTTTGTGAATGTATGCAGGAGAACCATAAAGAATGCTGTTGCGATAATCCAGTCAGGGTGTGTCATCGGCATAAAAGTGGAACTCGAGTTGGTTTTGTCGAATAATTTTTCCAATTGGAGGATGTAGGTGATGAACAGAGGTTGACAAAGTACAGAAACCTGAGGGATGCCATGATTGACTGGGGCTGTGGGGGATTTGGAGTTGTTGATGGAGATGAATTGATGTCTGTCAAGGAGATAGGATTTAAACCAGGAGAGGAACCATTGTTGTGTGCATTGAAAACTGATCTGAATTAATCGATTGCATCCTATTTTGTAAGTGGTCCACTTACCAGGGTATGTTTTTGTCATTTGAAGCAGAACAGGGCAGAATAGCAGAGCTATTGGGGAATATTGATCATGCTTAACTCATAAATGCACTCTTACCAATGTAAAAGTTGCATTCATCAATTGGAAATTAGTAATTTGCACTACATTTTTATTCTTTACTGGAAGAACACAAACCTGTCTCTCAGGTAATGTCCTATGTTGTCAATGTTTCCTCTGCTCAGCCCTCACTCCTCATTACCGACCTCATCGTCCACTTTTCTTCCCCCAGGTCTATTTGGCAGAATGGAGGGGTCAAAAGGTAGCGTTGTCCAAACTGTCCTCTCTGGATTACCTGGAGGATTTCCTCCATGGATTGTCTATGCTACAGCTCCTGCAGGGCCCTCGGGTGGTGCAGCTGGTGGGTTTTTGCCTTAAAGACTACACCCAGGTCACGGAGCACCATCCACATGGCCCCCTCCTTAATTTGGAAGGTATTCTTGAACAGCAACAGCACCAGCAACACAATACATGGCAGGCCCGGCTGAGGTTGGCTATAGACTACGTCCTCATCCTGCATTACCTCCACAACAGCCCAGCTGGGCGGCGGGTCATGTGTGACTCCAACAGCCTGGAAAAAACCTTGTCCCAGTTTCTGCTGACAAGTGACTTTCACCTGGTGGTGAACGATCTCGATGCGCTACCTGAGGTGGACACACCCAACGGCCTTGGGGTAAAATGTGGTCATCGGGAGCTCACTGGGGACTTTGTTGCCCCAGAGCAGCTGTGGCCCTTCAGAAACGCAGGAACGCAATTTTCAGACGATCTCATGCCTGAGTACGATGAGAGAACAGACATCTGGAAGATCCCTGACGTGACATGGTTCCTGATGGGAAGGGTACCTGGGGGGGATGTAGTCCATTTCCATCTCTTTCAGATCCACCAGGAGTGTAAGAGGGAAGACCCCAGGCTCAGGCCTTCAGCTCTGGATGTGTCCAAGGTGTACCAATCAGTGTACAGCAGCATGGTGCAAGACAGTGCTGGCTTTAGAGACATGCTGTAGAATGTGTGAGTACATTTCTGACTCGCTTAAAAAAACCTGAACGTTAAATAGAAGCTACAGTTTCACAATCAGGTGTAGTATAATATAGTGCTTACTGAAACTGCTCTCTTCCCGAGGATTTCCCTCAATTTATCCAGATAGCTCAGAGGGACTAAAACCTTTACGCAAGCGGGTGTATGAACTTGTTAAATGAAACTTTAACATGTATTGTTTGCAGTGACGTGCGGTGAGGTCAATGCCTGGGGAGGCATGGACAGTATATTACACTTTTTTTTTTACTAACTACCGCTATT